CAGGACCATGTGAACTGGGTACAGTGGTGCACATGCCAGTAACCCCAATACCTGAGGGTGAAGATCATCTTTAGTGAGTCTGAGCTATAGAAAGCCCTGCCTCAGACAAAGCAAGCCCCAAAAACCCAAACTAAAATTAAAAAAAAAAAAAAAAAAAGGTGGAAATACACCAGATAGAATCAGATACCAGCTCAGCAGGGATGGTGGGCAGCACTCAGTAGGGGGAATAGGGAAAGCAAAGGAAAAGGCCCAGAGGCCCTGAGGTCCCACATCCCTGGGATCTGGTGAGTGGGAGGGAAGAAGTGGGGGAGGGCTGCTGCAGGCCTCCTGTGGCTCCGCCCCCGCAGGGAGTTTCCTGCTAGGCTGGTGAATCATAGTCTGAGAAAGTTATTCCCCTTTCTCTCTCCATCCTTTTACTCCAGCAAAGGGAAACTCTCCGCCTGCACGGAGAGCCTCACACCTCCGTGTACCCACTTCAACAGAGACCCTAATGGCCAGGAACCCTGTAACCTGGCTCTCTGATAAGGGTCTATGCAGAGTCGACAGAAATTTCTCTTTTAAAATATATAGTCACATGTCATATAGGAGCAGTTTCAAGAAATATGTCACTGTGTCAGTAGGTGATTTCCCCATGCAAATGTCATAGGAAGTACTCCCACAATGAAGACGGCTCTGGTCCCATTAGGTGGCGTGATGGGGGGCTTGTTATACAGCATAAGGCCATATTTGAAAGTGACTGTTTATTTTTTGGGAGGGTCTCTCTATGGTGGTCTGAAACTTATTATATAGACCAGTCTCACAAAAAAAGTGAGCCATCTGTGGAACAGTGGTGGCTCACACCTTTAATCCCAGTACTCAGGAGTAGAGGCAGGAGGGTCTTTGCCAGTTCAAGGTCAGCCTGGTCTAGTGGTGAATTCCAGGAGAGCCTAGGTTGTATACAGTGAAAACCATGTCTCGGAAAAAAAAACAAGCAAAAAAAAAAAAAAAAAAAAAAGGGAGCCATTTGAAGAAAACCATTAAAGAAATGATGGGAGGGGCTGGAGAGAAGGCTCAGTGGTTAAGAGCATGGGTTAGTCTTACAAAGGACTCAGGCTCAGTTTCCAGCACCCACATGGTAGTTCATAACCACCCAAACTCCAGTTCCAGGGCATCCAACGTCTTCTTCTGATCTCTGCAGATACCAGGCATGCACATGGATGGTGCACATATAAACATGCAGGCAAAACACTAGGAAATTTTGCAAAAAGAAAAAAAAAGGGGGGAAGTTAGGTGGGCCAGGAGTTGTAATCCTAGCACCCAGGAAAGACAGAGGCGGGAGAAGCACTAGCCTGGTCTACATACTGAGTTCATATATATCCAGGCCAGTCAAGGACACATAGGGAGACCCTATTTCAAAATAACTAACAAACAAAAGAAAAAAGAAATGAAGGAAGAGCTGGGATATGGGGAGGGTAAAAGTCATGCAGTTGAATTCCAATGACTGGTATTCAGGAGAGCAAGCTGGGGGTGCTAAGGAACCACTAAAATTCTAAGCTCAGGAGGGTCAGAGGCAAAACAGGAGCGTTGGCCCAGTCAGCAGAGCCCTGAACCAGCCTGGGGAGGAGATGAGGCAGGCTGCCCTGAAAAGGGCTCTGGGTACAGGGGAGGACACAGGGAGCTGATGGGACAGGCTGTGAGCATCCCAGGACACCCCAGAGCAAGCCTTGTATCTGTCCTGTAAGTGCAGCCAGGCCTAGGTGAACACTTCACGAGTGAGCCGCCTCCCACTGGACCAGGAAAGCCTTAGAAACAACTGCCCTGGGGCCTTGGAGAGATCTAGCAAAGCTGCCTGCCAGCTATGAAGGTGACCAACTACCGCAGTTCACCTCAGGTGCTTTCCCAAACTGGAAGGAGCTGGTCCCCTGCTGTCTCTGCTGGAGCTGCAAGGCTCAGCCTTCCCACCTCCCACCCCCTTCAGTTCCTGTTCCTAAGAACATCCACTCACCTCAGAGCCAGAGGGCTCAGGAACCTTAGACCCTTTCAGAAAAATGTGTTTCAGTTGACAGAAGCTTCCTGACCACATTTCAAACTCCAGGTCCAACTGAAGCAGGTCGTCACGATGCCGCTCTGCCCCTCTCAGGTGAGTCTTATTTCCAGTCCCAGCACCCTTCCAAACATGGCTTCCCTAATGGCACTATCAGTATGTTCACCCAATGTGGCCTGCTCCCTCAGGCTCTGTCCTCCCTTTGCTTTCCCGTCTGCCTATAGGGCTCCCTACACACAGTTTCTTGTGTTTGAAGTCCAGGGAAACTTCACAGGGTAGCAACTCCCAAAGTCTCACAGAGAAGACACTCTTGATTCTTCCCAACTCTCTTCCAAAGCCTCTTCCTGTCAGATGTCTCCACCTAACACTGAACTCTGACCACACAGGGTAGGCTTTGCATCAGATTCCTGTCATCCAGTGTGGTGGCACACACCTTTAATCCCAGCACTCCTTGGGAGGCAGAGGCAGGAGGATCTCTGTGAGTTAGAGGTCAGCCTGATCTACAGAGCAAGTTCCAGAACAGCCAAGGCTACTATGAGAAACCCTGTGTTGAAAAATTAAACCAACCCAAACAAAACAAAACAAAACAAAAGATTCTTGTCATCCATTGGCTGCCAGGAGGCATTGTATAGAACCAGCACTTAACTGCAAGAACCCACCATGTCTCCCTGGGAGATACCACAACCCTCTCAGATGTCCCCAGTGCAGCCAGGAGAGCTCCCAGGAGGCTCCCATTCCTCAGTCATCCTTGCATCCCTCCCTTTCTTTAGCTAACACTAGCTTCCTGCACGGTGATTAGGCAAACCAGACACCCATGTCCTCATCTCCCTTGCCTGAACACCCCAGCGAAGAACAATTTCATCATGACCACCCTGTACCCTGTGGGAATGTGTCATCGAATGTCTGGCCCAGGATACAGGACATTAACGTGGAGATAAAAAGATGGAGGGGATGAATCCCCGCTGCCATCCTGAAACACAAGGCCTGGAGGACGGGAAGAGGGCACCTACTCCCCCATCTCCCTTCAACCCTTGCCCTTTGGCCTTGCTTGGAGTCTGCACTAACAAATCTGGGATCACTCTCTGCAGATGTGAAGATCTGTGGGGACAACAGTGGACGGTACAGGACACAGATCTGAGCTCTCCCCAAACACGGGGATTACTATTGTTACTGGCCAAGCAGCTCAGAAGCCAGGGGATTCCAGGCAGCCAGACAGAGGTCTGGCTGAGCTGCACAATAATCCTGCCTCAGGATTAGCCTGACTGAAGGGGACATGAACCCAGTGGCTGGTCAGGTCATACACTGAGGAGCAGCATGGGGAGGCCAGAGCAGTGCAAAGGGGAAGGAAGCTAGCTTCTAGAGCCATGGGTGTGGTTGCCCCCCCAAGCTCCACCCCCTTCCTGGGCTGAGGAGGAGGCAGCATGAAGAACAGACAAAACAGAGGTATCTCTTCCTAGGCCCTCCCAGCTGCTCCAGAGTCAGCAAAAATAATTCCTGGGAATGGACGTAGCTGGTCACTAGACTTCACCAGGCCAGGTAGGCGCTTAAAAGCCTGTGTGTCTACTGCCTTCTTAGGGCAAGTAGCCAGCCATGACCGGAAAGCCTGGAGGTGTGCAAACATCCGAGTCACTTCACAGCAGGAAGGAGCTGGGGTGGGGCCAGCTCAGATGACAGTCCAGGCCCTGGGCTTGGCTCTTTCTCCTCTGGGAGGAATAAAGGGTTAACTACCCAGAGGCCTGGGCAGGCAGATTCTGGGCACCCAGCCTTTTCCTCCTCCACACTTTCACCTTGGTAGAGAGACCCTTTTCTTCCTCCCATAGCATCTAGGGCTTGTCCTGACCGAGACTAAACTAGCCTATGCTCTATGCTGCTGCGCCTGCCTGTTCCTCTGCCCAGAAACTCTTTGCTCATACACCACCCTCATACCCCCCCGCCAAGCCCTGTGCCTCTTCTCTAGGTCTTTCTGGTACCCTGGAATGTCACCTCGACCTCCATGAGGACAGAGATTATTGTCAGTTTCCTTCATTCCTGTCACTAGCCGGGTGGTGGTGGCACACGCCTTTAATCCCAGCACTCGGAAGGCAGAGACAAGAGGATCTCAGTGAGTTTGAGGCCAGCCTGGTCTACAAGAGCTAGTTCCAGGACAGGCTCCAAAGCCAGAGAGAAACTCTGTCTCGAAAAACCAGGAAAAAAAAAAAGTTTCATGGCTGAATGAATAAAGAGTACACAAACATTTAGCCTGGTGTGGGGCAGCATGCCTATAATACCAGCACTTAGGAGGTAAAGACAGACAGATCAGAAATGAAGGTCATCCTCGGTTATATAGTGAGTTCAAGGCCAGTCTAGACTATGCAATATCAAAAAAGAAAAAAAGAAAAAAAAAGATCTAAGAGCAGGGGCTCATATCAACTGTCGCCTACAGGGGCATCACAGTTCCTTCACTTACTATGTGGTCTTTTTCACTTGTTTGTTTTTGTTTTGTTTTGTTTTCTTAAGACGGGGTCTCATTATGTAGCTCTGGCTATCCTAGAACTCGCTCTGTAGACCAAGCTGTCCTGGAATTTACAGAGATTCACCTGCCTCTGTCTCCTGAGTGCTGGAAGCCACCACCGCCTGGCTTCGGCTGTGTGAGCTTGAACCATGTACAAAACCGCTGTGTCTCATTTAAGTGAATGAATAGGAAACGAGTAATAATACTGACCTCATAGGCTAGTGGCCTATCCATTGTCACACACACAAGGACAGCTGAAAGCACTGCCTGGCACCCTGGCTGCCAGCGTTTCTTGTTTACTTAATCACCTGCTTGCTCATCACCTACTACAGTGATCAGCCCTACCACAGAGTCAGCCCCAGCCTGACTTGCTCACTGCTCTACCCTTAATTCCTAGCACAGCGCTGGACGAGGAAACCAGGCCTCCTCTCACATCAGGGACCATGCAGCTGGGGAGCTATCATGGGCTAGAAGTATGAGGCTCACCAATCTGCTTCTCCAGGGCAGCTGCTTCACAGATGGTTGCCCGGGGTAGGATGCCAGGGTCAGTAAAACTGGTCTGCAGGAGGCAGCTCATGACGAAGAAGAAGAGGATGGCAGCGATGATGGGGATGGCCAGGGTCAGTCTGCTGGCCAGGTAGGGACAGCTAGGAGAGAAGAGAGTTCAGGTTACCTCAGGGCTGCCTCTCCCTGAAGTGCAGCAGGAGCTGAGTGCAGCTGCTCCCCGTAATGCCCAGAGCAGACATTACTAGTTAATCCTGGACTGCTTCCAACATCAGATGAGAACAACAGATATTCTCCCTCATCCCAGCCGGCAAGCAGGTCCCTCTTCCTCCATTCCTTCCTGCCAACAGGAACTTGCCAGATAAGCCAAACTGGCCGTGAACTCTTGATGTTTCTGCCTCCACCTGAATACACACACACACACCACCACACCTAGCCTTCTTTATGGCAGCACACACCTACATTTCCAGCACTCAAAAGGCCCAAGTAGGAAGATCAGGAGTTCAAGGCCATCCTTCATACACAGTAAACTCAAGGCTAAGCCGGGTTATATGAGACCCTGCCTCAAAAACAAAAATAAATAAATAAAAACAAACCAACAAAACCAGGCCACTGAGATGGTTCAGAATATAAAAATGCTTGTTATCAAGTTTGATAGCCTGAGCTTGCTCTTGGAACCCACATGATGAAAAGAGAAAAAAGATTCTCACAAGGTGTCCTCTGACCTTTACATGCATGCCACAAAACATACACATGCACACATATGCAAAGTAAATAAAATCCACCAGTGATGGTTGTGCACGCCTTTAATCCCAGCACTGGGGAAGTAGAGCCAGATGGATCTCTATGAGTTCAAGGCTAGCCTGGTCTACAGAGCTAGTTCTAGGATAGTCAGAGCTGTTACATAGAGGAAACCTATCCCGAAAAAAAAAAATAATAAATAAATAAATAAATAAATAAATAAATAAATAAATAAAATGCAATTAAAAACCAAAGGCAGAGACAGAGATGGAAACAGAGAACCCCGGACTCCTAGGACTCCTTTATGCAAACACGTTGTATACAGCTCAGTACCCATCATTTTAATATGTCCTGTCTGTGGGTGTTTTGCCTGCATGCAAGTCTGTGTACCATGTGTGTGGCTGGTGCTTGAGAAGACCAGCAGAGGGCACTGGAACAGTAGTTAGAGATGGCTGTGAGCTGCCATGCAGGTGCTAGGAATTGAACCTGGGTCCTCTGGAAGAACAGAACGGTTAGTGCTTTTAATTGCCAAACCATCTCTCCAGACCTGTCCCAGGACTTAGCTGCGGCCTCAGAATCCTTTCAGTAGACACAGAACTTCAGGAAGCCATTACCAATTAAGAGGGCTGTCACTTGAGACAACCAGCGTGACAATGTTGCGATGTCACGTATGCATGCATGCATGCATTCATTCATTCGGCCAGCTGCTCCACAAATATTTACTGAGTTCTTCTCCGTGCCAGGCAACACTCTCAATAAACAGCAGGAATAATGGCTATGGATATGACAAGAGTCTCTCTGCGTGTGGCTTATGATCGACTAGGGAAACGAGCCAGGTAAACAGGGAACTGCCACACATGGTGATGTGTGCCACAGAACAAAAAGATACCTGCCGGAGATGACACCGCACCCACACCCAGAGCAGCGAGGGGACGGCCAAGGAACACAGTATGTGCCTGCCCCATCCCCCCAGATACCAACTCCAGGCTGATCCAAGATGGCCCCAGGAACAGCTTGTGGGATAGCCTGCCCCTCCCTCCCAGTAGGCAGGCTGCTGATCACAGCTTCCACATCTACCTTTAAATCTTTGCTTCCATTTTAGGGCTGCAATGTTCTAGAAGTTCTGAAATTGGTGGGGGTGTGGCTCTAGGATGAAGAGGACCTACTGGGGGCGCTCTGTCATCTTAGCCACTCTGCTGTCTACTGCAAAGCCACTTTCTGCAAACATAAATCATTATTGGTCATTTCTCTGCCCGACACCCTCTAATGGCTTCAAACTGAATCCAATCTCAATCGGCTGGTTAGGCCAACCTTGTTCTGAGATTTGCTGAGGTTTCTCCTGCCTCAACCTACAAAACTGTCCTCACCCCCTCTACCGCGTCACACTGGCCTCATGGCAGTCCCCACAAGTGTGACATTATTCTACCTCAGGGTCTTTGCACTTACTGCTCATGTCCTCTGGAACGGTCTTCCCTCCTCAGTGGACTTTCCTTGATAGTTCATATAAAGCAGTCCTCCCAAGACTATTTTCTATATGGCATTTATTAAAACCGTTAGCTGTGGGACCAGAAACGGCTCAGTGGTTCAGAGCACTTCCTACTGCTCCAGAGAACCATCCTCAGCCCCCAGCATCCACGGGATGGCTCACAACCGTCACTAACACCAGTTCCAGGGATTCCAATGCCCGCTTGCGAATGCCACACGTGGTACACATACACGTGCAATTAAACACTCAAAGACATAAAATAAAGCGTAAAAAACATAAACTAAGCCTGGAAGGGTGACACAAACCTTTACTTCCAGTACTAAGGAGGCAGAGGCAGGCGGATGGATCTCTGTGTGTTTGAGGCCTGCCTGGTCTACAGAGTGAGTTCCAGGACAGCTAGGCTACACAGAGAAACCCTGTCTCAAAAAAAAACAAAACAAAACAAAAATTAATTAACTTAGGGCATGGCAGCTCACACCTTTAATGCCAGCATTCTGGAGGCAGAAGCAGAACAACTCTCTGTGAATTTGAGGCCAGCTTGGTCTACACATTGAGTTCCAGGATACCCAAGACCATAGAGTAAGATCCTGTCAAAAAAAAAAAAAAGTTACCTGCTGTGTGGCTATGTTCCCTGCTTCTGTCTTGCTAAGTGACAAGCAGACAGCATCCCTTGCATGTTGCCCAATAAATACCTACCAAATGAATGGTGTGCCCCTCATGGAGAGACAGTAGCTACAATATTTTTTTCAGTACTACAGACCAAACCCAATGCCTTGTCCACACTTGGAAAGCACTTGGCTATCTGTCGTCTCCGGCCCTACCACCTGACATCTTGTGAAAATTTACTAAGGACTAAGTATTGCCCTAGTCAATAAATCATTATAAATAATACATATCACACCGGGGATAATAATAATGATACAGCTCAGTGGGAGAATGCACTCTATCATGCACAAAGCCCTGAGTTCATTCAGACCCCAGTAGTCGCAGTAGAACAAGTAATAATAATAATGATGATAATGACAATATCAAATCAATATCTAAAGTGCAAACCAGACATAATGCTACATGCCTATAATTATGACATTTGAGAGGCTGAGCAAGGAGAATCCTGAGAACTTGAGGCCAGTCTGGCTACAGAGAGCAGTGCTATCTTAAAAATACTAATTTTGCGGGGCACAGTGGCACATGCCTTTAATCCCAGTCAGGTCTGTGAGTATGAAGCCAGCTAGGACCACATAGTGAGACCCTTTCCAAAGTTAACTAAGTAACAGTTGCTATGCGCTAACTGCACAGCTGTGCACTTTACATGCATTTCGCAAGTCTTCACGGTGACCCTCTAACCTTGTGCCCCAAACGTCACAGATGAGGAAGTTTAGAAAGCTTAAACGACCCGGGCAACACAGGTCAGGAGCATTCACGTGACTGTGAAGTTCATGCTGATCGACCACAACTAGCTGCTGCCTTCCCACTGGAGCCAGAGGGGATGTGATAGTGGGGCTGTCTCATGGGTGATGCATCTGTCGGGAGGCTTTGGGCCAGATGAGGTTCCAGGGATCCACAGGGGCAGGGAGCAAAATCAGGACATGTGAACAGGGCTTTTGAAGACTGCAGCGGCCTTCCCCGAGGACCAGAGCCTGCCAATGCCAAGGGCTCCAAGCAGGCTACCCTCTGCTCCACACATTTCTTCATGTCTAATCCTCCAAAAGAACCAGCAATGTTGGACAGCTCTCCCAGTTCACGCACAAGCTGGGACCTGGGGAAGGAAGACTGGGACTTGTAGAGCCCTTGGCAAACACCAATACCAAGTCCTAGGCTCTGATTTCCACAGCCAGATTCAAGATCACCCAGCCAGGATGCCAATTACAAGCTGGCATCTCCAGAGTCCCAGCAAGAGATCCTGCCCATTCATTCATTCAACTGCTGTGCTGAGAGCTGACTGCATCCCTTGCACTGGGTCTAGGCACTAAACACACAGCAGTGTGGACGTTTGCTATCCTTGAGCAGAAAAGACAGACACGGAATGACCAAAGGCGTGCATGTGTGCATGCATGTGCAGAAGGGGAAAGAGTGAAAAGAAATGAGTGACCCGTGAGTGTAAACAGAGGTGCTCCAAACAGTGCGAAGGCCCTGAGGCAGGCGGGAGCAGGCAGGGCAATGAGCTTGAGAGGGTAACTCAGCAGAAAAGGACTGAGCAAAGCAGCAGGCACAGAAGGCCATTAGCAGAGCTCTGGCTCTCACCTAGAGGGAGAAGCAGGGAGCCTGGCATCTGATGTCAAGGGGCTGAGGCTGCTGTGAGAATGGATAGTAGAGTAGAGCTGGAAGCCCCACTGGGAAGCTACCACAATCCACCAGAAGGGAAGCAAAACCAGCAGGAAAGGTCTCCCCCAAGGCCACCTGTACCTTCCCAGAGCAGCAGGGAGTGAGCATCTTCTACCATCCCTGTCCTCACTAAAAGTGCATCCACTCTGGAATCCTCCAAGCCCCCGGCAACCAACATGCCGCAGGACTATGGGTTGTAACCCAACCCTGCTCCCAAAGTCACCAACCAGGAGTGGGAACAAGAGGCAATGAAGGCTGAGGTAATTGAGTGGTCTGTTCTCCCTGAGCCCGGGAGTTCTCCCTTCTTCTCTGGCTGGGGGCAACTCTGGACCATGAATCCATCTACAAGTTCAGGTCCAACTCTTACACTGAGGGGTCATAGGGCAACTAGAGCCAGCACTACTTCCTCCAGCCTGGGTCATAACCCTGGGCGTGGGCACCATGAAGAATGGCCCAAGGGCTCCGGTAAAAGCATGTCTAGGGCACACAAGAGGCCACAAGAAATGAAACTTGGAAATGAAACTTGGCCTAAGGGCCAAGCTGGGGTCCCAGAGTTTCTCTGTATAAACCACCCTGAGCCTTTTTCCATCCCAACCCAGGATGGAAGGGCAGAGCATTTTGGGGGACAGTGGAAAAGTAGGAATTCTTCACCTTGTGGTTGCAGACACACAATCCAAGTCCTGGAAAATGACCTGAGAACTGGTCTTTTTAAAAACTTTATCAGCTGGGCAGTGGTGGCAAGCACGCCTTTAATCCCAGCCCTCAGCGAGGCAGAGACAGGCGGATCTCTTTGAGTTCGAGGACAGCCTGGTCTACAGAGGGAGTTCCAGGACAGAGACACACAGAAACCTTGTCTCAGAAAAACCAAAAAAAAAAAAAAAAAAAAGCGCTTTATCATGACCACATGCCACCAGGAAGTGATTTTTGGTGAACAGAGCAGTAAAACCTGTGAACATCAAGTGCTAAAAGCATGCATGCAAAAGAATAAATAAATGATAAATAAATTTGAAAAAAAATAGCTAAAAGCTTGCATGCACGACTGGGTACCAATCTCAATAGACCCCTCGGAGGTGGGTACTATTAAAGTCTCCATTCAATCCATGAGGAAACTGGGGATTGCTGAGCAGAAGTGACCGGCGCCCCAGGCCATACAATTACTGGAAGGTGGAGCTGGGATTTGGGCTAGGTTCCGTGGCTCCGGAGATGGAGGTCTTAACTAGACTGAATAATAAAAGAAGCCAACCTCAAAGAACAGGGAGAAGCAGAAGGGGAAAGTGAGGTTCATCGGGTGGGTGGGCATGTGTGGGAGTTGTGTGCGTGCAAGAAGTCACACGGCTGGTGGCTCCAGCTACAGGCTAAGGGTGGGGTGGGAGCTTTGGATGCGTGAGTGACCCTGATAAAGCCATAAGCAGCCACTCCTCCACCCTGAGATGGAGGTGCCGGGTAGGCCAGCCCCGGGTCACTAGAAAAAAGGTCAAAAACCCATAGGGACAGTTAAGATCTGTCATGCCAAAGCCCTGAGGTCTCTTTCATGAAACGGAGTGATGCAGCTGTCCTGGTGGAGGAACGTGACCAAGAGATGCTCCAGAGTGTCCAAAGAGGAAAGAGAGCCAGATCAGGGTTGGAGAGACACCTGGGGTTCTAGGGAGCTAAGAGAGGGAGGGTCAGGAAGAAGCTTCGGCAAAACTAAGGAAAGCGCTGGAGAAGGAAGAGCCAGTCTGAGAGGCCCAAAGATGCTTGAAAGAGGATGCCTTGGGGCCTATGGCGAGTCTGAATGAGAGGAAGCGGTGATGGGGGGTCGGAGAGGGTGCATCTGAGGAAGCCAGGACCCTGCAGAACCTGGGAGGGACCCGAGAAGACGCACAGGAGATTCATAGTGTCCATAAGGGACACAAAAACTTAGTTGTCTGAGAGGACAGTAATAAAAGAAGCCTAGAGGGGTCAGAAAGAGCCTGGGATAGGCAAGAACCGGCCAGAGATAGGAGAGGAGGGCAGGCGGACCTGAGTGACCCGGCAAAGGCCGGTGACTGGAGCCGGACACCCAAAGTCCGGGTGGAGAGGATGGGTGCAGGGGTCCAGGGCGGGCGGAGGCCCGAAGGTACACAGATGCGGGCCGGGAAGGAGCGGCGGCCGGGGGGAGGGGGAGCGAACTCACTCGAAGAAGAAGAAGAGGACGGTGGTGCTGAGGATGAGCAGCAGCGTGAGCGCGAAGACGCCGCCGTGGCCGGCCAGCATGAGGCGGCCGCCGCAGTAGAAGCGGTTGCG